TTATATTAGGTCAGCGTTCATGGTTCGACTTCTGATATTCAGATCGAGTTCTAGGTCAAACTGGTTTGTTCGACTTTCAAGAAATTCGAGTTCTAGTGAGTTCGAGAACCGAGGTACCACTGTACTTTGAAAGAGTTTTGCTTATTTGTATCGCGCCCTAATGTTCCGAATTATTATGCGTTCGAAGTCCGGTCGATCCAGAAAGAAGGGGAAAAAAGTATGTTCAAATGAAATGCAGAGAACATGAAAGCTACTTTGGGCCTTAGTCATGATATTTAGAGTTTTCTTTTCGGGATGTCTCCAGACTTATGTTAGTTGGTAAGACTCATTAGAAATACCTGTTTAGTTTAATATGTACATTAGTATTTTCGTATAACGGCCGGGGATACCTGAACGCTCTGAAACTTGCAGCTCCATGATCTGATCACTGAGCCACACGTTCCTGTAGAGGGCGCTCGACAGCTGTCGGTGCTTAGTGATAAGTTGAGCTCGAGCGATTGTTAATGCTTAATGTATTGTGCTGTACTATGTGTTTTAAATTGATCGTTTTCCTGATTAACGAAAATAGATGCATTCTTCACGATAGTTAACGAATGCGTAATTTAAGTTTTGGGCAAAACACATGCGAAAACTAGGGGATTGTTTAAATAAGTAAAATGATAGGTGTATCTAAAATAGCTTTATCTGTGAACATCCACACATTTTTCAAAACCACATATCCAGTGTTGCTGGGTCGCAGCGATATATGAAACCTTTATATGCGATGATTTATATTATTCCTCACGACGTCAATGGCCAGTTTGTACACCTAGCTAGTAGAAGATATAAAACAATTTCGCCCACAGAGCTGGTTTAAAGGTAGGCGAGCAGCCATTCTGGGCACCGCTGTTGTACTGAGCTGCTATTTGTGCACTTGTACCTTTCCTTTAATGCGTCTGGCTGTTCTCTGACCTCTCGCATTCGCAGGGTCTTCAGCGACATAACTGCCACTGGTCGTATGATGGATCAAACCATCCATTAAAACGGGACTTCCCAAAGTGGTGTTTGCGACATGGTTTCCAGAGTGCCACTAAAAATTTACTCAAAAAATCTCTGGTACTGTTATTTTGGGTATTAAACGTTTGGGAACCCACGCATTAAAAGTGTAGCATGTGAAAATACCATCAGGGTTTCTGAGATGCTGGAATCACCACGTATGGCACCAACAATCACGCACTTAATAACTTAAGCTAATAGAATGGATATTATCTAAGACATGAGTGGCACTAGAGATTTAGGGGGGGGGACCTTTATTAGGAAAGGGTCTGGTTTTAATGAAAATGAATGAGAATATACCATTTAAACTAATTAATGTACAGTTATTTTGGGGAAGAGCCGAACCTCGTCTAAAAACAGTCTCTTGACCTTGTCATTGGGCTGTTTGGAGGAATTAGAAAGCAAGTGTAGCTTATGTACTGGCTATTCCGTGTATGTTCATTTAGTATGTGTGTATGAATCTAGTTTATGAACACAAGCAAAACGTTTCGAAGCATTGTGTTTGTTTCTATTCATATGTTAAAACATTATTAATTTAATTTGTGTTTTTTGGGTTACTTATACAGTTTCCGAAGCTACGGTGTTTGTTATTATTTTAAGATTTTACAAAATCTTTTTAGTTTATTTCATACTTTTTGTCTAACATGGGAAGCTGAGGGAGGTGTAGTAGCGTTCAGTATATTCTGCGTTTTGCGGCTTTCTGAAGGTCCCCCTGGCCAGTGACAGACAACAGAGGCATTCCTATCCTTTGCATTTTGTATGTATATCCATTTTCTTAAATTTTGAAGGAGTTTAAATGTTTTCGTTTTCGCTTTTAAAACTGATAGGCACTCTGAATATTTCCGCTCCTAAAAGTACGAAGAATCTACGATGGTAAAGATTACGAGATAAAAAAACAGTCTGCCGTTTCCTGCATTACCCAACTTCTCTTTCCGTGTTTTATCACTTCGCTTTAGGTGTGAGATATGCGCGTCGAAGTTTCCCATTCATTTGGCATGTACTGTTGAGGACAAAATTATTAGCCCCCCTATGAAATTTCTTCAAGATTTTCCAAAGTGCATTTTTAACAGAGAAAAAAAGTGTAAAATCCTCAGTAAGGGTCATTCAGCTGTCATTTGAGAAAGCACCATGCCAAAAACAAAAGAAATCAGCTAAGACTTGAGAAAAAGAATTGTTGATGCTACACAAAGCAGGAGAAGGATATACAAAGTTATCACAGCGTTTCCAAGTGTCAAGAACTGGAGTGAGAAGTATAATCTAGAAATTCAAAGAGAGCCACACAGTACAGAACAAGCCTGGCAGAGGTAGGAAGCGAAAGATTTCAAAGATCCTGGAAAGAAAACTAGTGAGAGATGTGTCTAAAGACCCCAGAACAACTGCCAAGACACTGAAGCATGACTTGGCCAAGTCGGGAATGGTGGTCTCTAAGAAGACAATCCCTAGAGCTCTGCACAGGAATGACTTTGAGGTTGCAGACCAAGAAGGACTCAAGTTTTGCAGAAGAGACACCTTCAAGCCAGACTAAAATATTCTCAGGACAACCTGGAGAAAGATGATGCATACTGGCCGCATGTCCTGTGGTCAGATGAGACTAAACTAGAGCTCTTTGGCCATAGAGACACTGCTTATGTTTGGAGAAGGAAGGGAGAGGCGTATAACCCAAAGAACACCGTCCCCACAGTGAAGCACGGTGGTGGGAACATTATGCTGTGGGGATGCTTCAGTGCATTAGGAACTGGAAATCTTGTCAAGGTGGAAGGAATTATGAACAAAGAAATATATGTGGAGATCTTAAAAGAAAACCTTAAGCAGTCAGCAGCAAAACTGGGTCTGGGTCGTCGCTTCGTCTTCCAACACGACAACGATCCCAAACATACGTCTCTCCTGGTGAAGAACTATCTCCAGAAGACCAAAGTGAACGTAATGGAGTGGCCTGCACAAAGCCCTGACTTAAATCCAATAGAAAATCTGTGGGGTGAACTAAAGAAGAAGGTCCATGCCAGAAGGCCATCAAATCTGGAGGAGCTTGAGAGATTTGCCAAGGAAAAATGAGCTAGGAATCCTCAGATGGGCTGTCAGAGAATTGTTGAAAACTACAACAAACGACTGCAGGCTGTTATCCAACAAAAAGGATACACAATTGACTATTAATATACAGAGGGCTAATAATTTTGACCATGGTAGTATAGATGATAGAAGAGATTTAGGTAGAACTATAGAACAATAAGTAATTAAAATAAAACAAAATAGAAATAATTTAAATATAAATTATATTAACATTGGCATAGATTAAACATAATTTGCATAGTGCCTGGTTTATTACAGCAAACATATACACAGTATACATGGTTATTTAAGGTGATTGTGCTTATGTTTGTGGTTTGTGGTTTGAGTGATCAGATATGTGAGTTAAACAGTTTTATTGCGACCGGCAGGAATGATTTCCTGTGTCTCCTGGTATTTAACTAAATACGAATTGGTCAAAGAAAAATCTGTATAATTATTTAAAATTAGGCTACATAAAAACATATAATTAGCTTTCATCAAAGTCTTTATATAATTTTGTAATGTATACACATAAGGATATACAATAACAATACGGGTATATGTTTTGTCATGTAAATTCCAGCGAGTATTATCAAGTACTTGTTTTCTAGCTTTTAGCTTTTATTGTCCAAAATTAAATTAGGTCACCCTATTACTCTTCCATGGTGCTGCTTATTGTTTAACTGATTTACTATTTCTGAAAGCTACGGTAAAATCTGACATCGGCATGTGCAGCTCCTGCCTCATTCAGTGGGCTTCGGCGTAGCAGTGGACTGAATCTCAGAGTATTTAAGAAAAAACTGCTCTGAGGTAGAAGGGCAGCCTTTTCCCATGGCAGCCTGGCTGAGGGAAGCCGGCCGGGCAGGCTGACGTACGGCCCTCACTGGGCCAGTGTGGGAACTGGGCTGGCAGACCTGCAGCCTGCACTGGGCCTGCCTCTCAACCACATTCACACGTGGCCCCAGCGAAAAAGAAAAACAGACCCTTCTCCGTCTAGGAGCCTGGCCTACGAAAGAAAACATTGTCATGTTATTTTTTAAAGTGCAGTTTAGTGTAAGTGAGGACCAGATGTTTAGTAGCACTGTGCTACGCAGTCGTGGGTTCGCATAAAATGGCTCGATGAAAAACACTTGTGGGATTTCAGGAATCCCTGCAATATAAATATTCCACGTAACAGTGGAGAGGGCCTTCCAGTAAATGACAGAAAGAGTACAGTCATCTTCACTTTTTTGTCTGTCAGATTGTGCACATCACTCTAGGTACTTAATCTGAATATAATGCACGTTTTTATCATCAATGTTCAGAAACATGATCTTTCTAACATCAGAGGTGGGCATGTAAAACTACACAGAAAGCCCTTACTGATGTTGTTGCTTGGCTTTTACGTTATTTTTGGTAAATCTGGACCTTGCAACCAAAAAACTACATAAAGTGGCCAAAATGCGACTAAATTAATTTTGCATGTATGCTCAATATAAATTACATGTTTTATTTTATGCAAAAGTAAACAATAATTGTCCCTGAAATAACAGTATTCATGTTTCAAAAAACACGTACAGTGTGCTTCCCATCCTCATCAGCCACGAAACATCAGACATTAACCAAGTTTCTTGATGCTTTGACAAAGGTGTGTAAGGGCATGCACACTAAAGAGAAAAATAACTAAAAAAGACTAAATGGATTAATTGTTTATGCATCTAAAACTGGTTTTATTTAACTTGAGGCCAATGCTGAAGTACTGAATAGAATTTTTGAATTTTGTTGAAGTATTCCTTTTTTTTCAGTGTATTACATGGAATTATTTATGCTTTTATTTATCCATTATTTAGTTGAGAATGACTGAAAAATCACATTTGTGTAGAGTGGCTGCTCCAGCAGTACTGAAGAGTGCATTAATACTGCATGTGTCAGAAAGCAGATACAACCATAAGATGGTCCTTACAAGGCTGTCCGCTGGGAGCCATAAAAGTCCTAAAGTGTCACTCCATGAAGCCTCTGGAAGGGGCTCAAAATCAAACTAGTACGTTTGACCTTTTATTTGATAATAATTAGAATATAGAACTTTACTATTGTCAGAGGTCTAAAATATAGTATAGCTGCATAATCCAACCAGTACATAAACACAGGTAAACCTGAAAACCAAATGTCTTCAGTTTTAATAGTTATTTTTTAATAATAAATCCTTAAGTTGCATGATTTTTGAGGCGGCACAGTGGTGTAGGGGGTAGTTTGTTGCCCCAGGGTTCAACACTGCACCAATTCTATGTGTGGAGTTTGCATGATGTCATTGTGGAATTCTTTCTATTTCCCCTCACAGTTCAAACATATGCTAAAGTGAACTGGAGTTGCCTCTGTCTATTTCCTAGTTTCTTATCAATATAAACCTTTCCCTTGAGTTGGGTGTTAGAATTCTATGCGATGATCACAATTGCTACAGCATAAGCACTGGGAGCCAATGAGAATTTCCTTGAAAACCATTTTCCAGCTCCAGCTAAAATCTGTACCTTATTGCAGATTTCAAATGCACCACACTGTCCTAGAAAGTCCCTTTATATAAAGTAATAAATATTTATATATTTTAACTTTATATAAAGTTAATAAATAAACAACAATAAAATGAAAACAGGAACAGCCAGTTGTGTGATGGTTAAGGACGCTTATTTCACTGGAAGGGACCTGTTGTAGGAAAATTTTCATGTTAAAATAATATTTGTTTTCACCACTTATCCTGTACAAGGACGTGGAGGTCGGGAGCCTGTCCAGGAAACAAGGGGTGTCAGGTGAGGAATAACCTAGGGTGGGGGTGCTCGCCTATCACTACACACACAGACCCTGCCTGCACACATTTACACCTATGGGCAATTTGGTAACTACCATAGCGATGACAGGCAACACAGGGCGTGAGGCGGAGAAACACTCCGCACAGCCTGTCCCAGGCAGCACAGGGCGCGAGGCGGAGGAACACTCCGCACAGCCTGTCCCAGGCAGCATAGGATTGCAGAAGTAGACCGGAGTACCAGAAAGACTAGTAAATTCTATTACTAGTTCTCCAAAACCAACCTGTTGTTTTGTCATCTCATCTTACCCCATATCAGTCAGAGTAAGCCGATGACGTAGGCAAGCCTGGGGAGAACATGGTCTCATGAGCCTTGGAGCTCTGCTTTCTGTCTCAGTCCTGTTCACAAGGGCACAGGTCAAGGTGCCCTGGGACCGTTCTATCAGGAAAGACTGGCTGGGTGAGTAGAGAGAGAGAGAGAGGTGCCCATTTTGGTTGTCATCTCCATGGAAGCGCCAAGAGCAAGCGGTGGCCCTTGGGTCAGTGGTGAGCTAAGGAAAAACAGTATATAAAGGCTGGACTGGAACTGATTCCAGCAGAGTTTCAGATAAAGCAGTTTCCTCCAAATTACACTGTTAGTCTGCACGTCCTCTATGGCACCGACGATGCGCTGTTGGCTTGTTATCCTGCTTCCGCTGATGGTCACCACCAGCCAGGCTTTGAGAAGGTAATCCTCACCGTCCTCATCAGCATCCATCGGTCTTCAAATAAAAAGAAAAACTGACACAGCAACCTAGCATGATGATAGAGAATAGTAGAGGACACAAAGAAGAGCAATCATCACAAATATGGCAATCACTGAAAGAATGCTTGTATTATGTCTCACAGGAATATATATATATATATATTGTCTTATGAATTGCTTGTGGAACTAAATGGTTGAGAAAATGTCCTTTGTGCTGCGTGTCATTTCCCTATAGGATCACTTTACGGAAAATGCCCTCCATCAGACAGACTCTTCACGAGATGGGGGTGTCCCCCGCTCAAGTGTTCCCGGAGCTCTCCCAGAAACTGGGAAGGAGTGTCTCCCCCAGCAACGGGACAGCACCGACGCCTCTCACCAACTACCTGGATGTGAGAAATCCTGGCTGGACCACTTATGTCAATATCCAGTGTAGAGTAATCTTGCTAGTCTATCTCTGTAAATACCCAGTTGATCATCAGATTTTTTTCATTAAGTGATTCTGTTCTCTTTGTATTCTTACATTATCCTACTGCTTTCAGTTAAAAAGGATACTGGTGGGAAAATAATGAATCGTACTAATTAACATTAAGGTTTCTGGTGATTCAGTACTCAGGAATACTCTAATCATTACTTATTTATACCCTCTCCTTTGTTCCTCAGACACAATACTTTGGAGAGATCAGCATTGGTTCACCAGCCCAAATGTTCAACGTGGTGTTTGATACAGGTTCTGCCAATTTATGGGTGCCGTCCTATGAATGCTCGCCATTGTACACTGCCTGCTGTAAGTCCCTTGGGGGGGGGGGGTCGTGTCTTAGTGTCCATGGCCATGTCTTAGTGTCCACACAGCGTAACCAAGGCAACAGCTTATAGCTGCATCTGTGCCTAACTACACCTGTTTTATTGACTTTCAAGTTGCAGAATTCTGGAGTTTAGTTAGTCATTTGAAGTCATCTACATATTGTTGTTGTGAAGGTATTTGATATTACCCTGGTATTAAAATCTATAATAAATTTAATCTGCTCAATTCTGTTGGATTCTGTTACTGGAAGGCATTTTTCATTTTTCATTGCTGTTAAGCTCCTTTAGATGGCAGCATTGCAGAGCTATAGTCAGTCTAGAACAGGGGTGTCAAACCCCAGTCCTGGGGGGCCGGAGCCCTGTGTAGCTTAGTTCTTTCCCTGTTCACCAGAAATGATTCAGCTCAAGAGCTGTGTGGTAATTAGCACAAGGAGCTGAATCAGGTGTGTTAAATGAGGGGAAAACGAAAAATGTGCTGGACTTCAGCCCCCCAGGACTGGAGTTTGACACACCTGGTCTAGAAGGTGCGGTTTGGTTTAAAAGGAAGTGATGAAAAGAAGATGGCAAAAGATGGCAGATAATGAGGTCACACGACGCTGAGCACTTTCTGACGACGAGCCCTAAGATGCTTTAATCATCTTATCTTCATGACACTGTGCATTTTAATACGATAGAAAAGTGCGTGGGCTTCTGAAGATCCCTGCTGTTTAATGTGTGTTTCATGTTTCACCTCATGTGTGTGTTTTGTGTGTCGCCAGTCACCCACAACAGGTACGATTCTTCAAAGTCAGAGACGCACATCAAGAATGGCACCGGCTTCTCCATTCAGTACGCTTCTGGGAACGTCAGGGGTTTCCTAAGCCAGGACGTAGTGGTGGTGAGCACAGTTACTACAAAACTGAAGCATTTTTTTTCTTGTGTGTCTTGGTTATACTAATTTCATGGTAAGCTGTTACTTCAAATTGCATCTGGGTTAGGGTTAGGGTTGTGTCATAGCTTAAAAAAAAAATAAATGCATCAAGGCGTATATCATGTTAAGGATAAATGTATTGTTTGTACTGCATTTCTCTGTAGTACGGTTTTATAATAAAATCAGTGATATGATTTAACACTTCAAACTTAACACTCTTCTGCATTGAGTGTAGAGCATTCCACTTCAGTAAAACTGTGTTGTTACATATGGGGTGCATCTCTAGTAAATGCACCGGTAACCCGACCTGTGATTGGTCAACACCTGCAGGTGGGAGGGGTCCCTGTGGTGCAGGTGTTTGCAGAAGCCACCGCCTTACCCGCAATACCATTTATCTTTGCCAAATTTGATGGGGTACTGGGAATGGGCTACCCCAACGTGGCTATCGATGGCATCACCCCCGTATTCGACCGCATCATGTCCCAGCACATCCTAAAGAAGGAAGTGTTCTCCGTGTATTACAGTCGGTAGGTACCTGCCTACATCTCAGCATCGAAGTAGGGCATCCTTGTCTTTCACAGTAAATTAAACATTGTTGCCACTGGTATAATTTTGCTACTAGTAACACGGGCCATGATAATATCAAAGCATAATAATTGCTGTAATCATGGTAATAATATTTTGTTATTGTTCGTAATGTTAAATATTGTTACTGCTGTTGCTGTAGTTATGTAGCTTCCGAAGTTTTTATAATTGATACAAAAAACAAAAGAGACATGTTTATATGAATGGATATATATTCGCTGAGGTTAGACCTACCTGTACTGCCTGTCGGCCTGCAGAGCCTCTCTGATGTAGCACTCGCAGGAATGATATGTGTCTCTGTTTGGGAGACATTGCGTCTCCCCTCTGTCACCCATGTCTGCCAGAGACCCGGAACACATTCCTGGCGGAGAGATTGTCCTTGGAGGGACGGACCCTTCCTACTACACCGGGAGCTTCAACTACATGAGCACCACTGAGACGGGAAAGTGGGAGGTCAGGGTTAAAGGGTAGGCAAGACAGCCGTCACGAGCAAAGCAGTTTGGTAGTAAGAGTTGTATAAGTCGCACTTAGAGGTTACAAAAGCTGCTTTTTCTTAGCCTAGTAGTTTCTATAACTACAGAAGCTGTGATGCCTCTTTTTTCCTTTTGACCCCCTCTAGAGTGTCAGTGGGGGCGGAGGTGCTCTTTTGTAAGGAGGGCTGTACGGCCGTAATCGACACAGGAAGCTCCTACGTCACAGGTCCCGCCTCCTCCGTGTCAATCATGATGAAGGCCATTGGCGCCGTGGAGTCAGCTGAGGGCGGGGTTTGTACTCCTCACTTCATAGCAGCTAATACATTGTCACAAAAGTCTCAAACTACCAGTTTTAAGTAGCCAGTTGCGTGTTTTTACTGCATTATTAAATATGACCAATCAATCTTTGGTTGTCCAACGAGAATGAAAAACAATCGCTAATCGCTATTTCGCTAAAATGCTAATCACCCTCCACCCCCACCCGCCCAGCAGTGTTTTGGAAGTTACTCACAAAAGTAATCCATTACAGATGGAATGTTCAGGCCCTGAAAGTATAGAAATCCAGACCAAGGTTTTGTTTCTACCAACCAGTTGAGTACTCTGTGACTGTGAACTTTACACCTCTGTCTCTAACAGATTACTTTTCCTTCCACTTCTGTCTGTAATGGGTTAACTTCACTATCACTGCACCCCAAACCGTCATCATAGATGTTTCATCTTTTCATTCTCGTTTGGCGCATAGAAAATAGCATTAAAACATGTGCCCCCCTTGGGTAAAGACCACCTGTCCAGTGTGCCCCAAGTTATTTAACTTTGAGACCCCAGTTATAGTAGGTTTTAATCAAATATGTATTTTGTTCTAAAAAAATTACAGTGTAATGGTGTAGACTGAAGTTTCCCATAAGATAAGATGAAACCAGGGTTATGTGTCTTTAACTGCATTGATTTGATGTGAATATCTATCCTTCCACACAGTACACTGTAAACTGTGACCTGGTGAAATCCTTACCCAGCATCGCTTTTCATATGGGTGGTCAGGAATACGGTCTGACAGCAGAAGACTACATTCTCTGGGTATGTTGTTTGAAAATGTAATCTTGGAATCAACTAAGCGGCAGCTTTTGCACTAACACAACACATAATTGATTTTTGGTATTAGCCAAAAACCTGCTAGTCAGCTTCTGTGAAACGACGCCCCCCCCCCAGTCTCATATCGAACACTTTGCCATGTGTATCCATAGCAGTCACAGTTTGGAAAGGACATCTGCACCGTCACTTTTCGGGACCTGGATGTGCCCCCACCAACTGGCCCTGTCTGGATCCTAGGAGCCAGCTTCATATCCCGCTACTACACCGAGTTTGATCGGCAAAACAACAGGATAGGGTTTGCCAGGGCTGTGTGACGCCATCCCTCGTGCTTCAGTCGAGCAGAGCCCGCCTCTGTCTCCAGCCAGCCAATCGCATTCTCCTATTTAGCTTTTCCTCTCCACACAGCAGCCGTGAGCCAATTAAAGTGCTGATATGTCACCTCGCATCAGTTGTTGTCCTGATTACGCATCTTGTAGAAAGACATTGGGGAGTCACATTGCTAAAATAAATATTATTGTTCATAGTCACCATATTTAACTATTTTTTAACCAGACTTTTCTCATTTTTATAATTTTGTATTTGTTCCAGACCATTCTGCCTAAGTTGACTCTGCATCTGAATCTATTTATTTAGTTTGCTAATTGAATAAATGATATGGAGAGACCATATGGAGAACTGTACAGAAATACCCATTAAATTCTTCAAATTCAATAATGGTTTTTAAGTATCTGTATTGTCTACCACAGATGTATTATATTGCATAAAAAATTACAGAAAAGTGGATTAAAAGTAATTTGTTATGAGGTCACTGTAATAGCACAACACCTGTTTTTCTATGAAGTAGATAAACCATTAACAGAATTGGCCTGATTTAACCAATAAGCGTCCAGCATTGCATCTAAAGACCACCCTCCAGACAGCCAATAGGACATCGGTCCAGTTGGAAGGCGGGGTCATGTTCAGCTCAAAACACATGCCTGTTGCTGTACGACGAAAGCGGCCATAAAGTAAAAGCTATATTTGTAAATCAGTTTTCTTTCACTCTTTGTACCTGAAGCCAAAAAGAAGGTAAATACATCACTTTTTAAAATGGCTTTTGCAATGTGACTATAGTAAAAGCATGGAGATTACAGACTGTCCGTGACTTTTGTCTTGTGTTTAAAATCAGAGGTCATAATGACGAATACAGTGGACGTGCTATGTACTTGTCTGTTCCATTAACAATATTAAACATATCTATTATTACTTTTTAAATTTCTTATTATTTTTTAAATGGGTATATATTATTTGTATATGATATAAGTCGGCTGAGTTAGAACTAGGGTTAATTGTGATTTGTCTGAACAACAGGGTCAAATTAGACATGCTATACATTTTCAATGTATTGCATTTGTATGAACTATCTAATTTAAGTTTATTGCTTTGCATTTCCCTATTCTTAGGCTCAGAGAAACTCTTTTAATGCTTTCACTGTCTAGCTGGCACAGAAGTCAAATTGATATTGCTCTGGATTATAAGAGCTGCAGGTAGACTATGGTAACCATTCAATTATTCAATGCATAATACATTCAAGTAAGAATTTAAAAAGCATACTTTGTTTCAAAGTGAGTATCCGAATCAGCCTAATGACATACAAAAGCATTTTCATGAAATTTGACTTGGTCAACATGAAATTATCTAAAGTGAAGAGGACAATAAAATGTGACAGCTAATCTTGTTGACATGTTGAAATCTTGCACTAAGCTGTTTTCCAGAAGCATGCTTGATTCGGAATGTGTCCTGTGAGGTCTCCAGATCATACACCCACGATGCACCATCCATTTTACAACTGCTTATTCTGAGTAGATTTGGGGGGCTACTATTGACACTTACCGGCCACTAAAAGATACTACGGTACCTGCTCGGCCAAACAGCAAATCATAAGTAATCATGGGGAAAAAAGTGAGTAATACTAAATACAGCCCACAGACAGGGTCAGGCTCTATAAGCTGAGCTAAGCTAACAGCTAAGACTCTAGATCTAAGCAATTTTGAGCATGTTGCGATTGATGATGCCATGCTTGATGGTTTCAACTTTTGAGAAACAGCCACCCTCTTGAGCTTTTTATACACTGCATCGTTTAGTGGACAAAATGAATTTTGTAACGAACAAAAACATCCAGACTTTTACGTGGCCGAAAACACCCTGCGAATGCAAGAGGTCAGAGCAGATTGATCAGACACATTGAAGAGGCAAAAATAACAGTTCAGCAAAATAATCGTGTTCAGAATAGCTTCTCAAAACACACAACTCGTCTATCCTTAAAGCAGTTCTGAATGCAAAAGTGTTTTATACCCTCTAGTAGCTAGATGTATATTTCACATCATTATATTGTGGTGGTTTTGGGAAAAGGATGAATGTTAATATATAGATGTTTTGGGCACTGCTATTCTTTTGCTTTTTTACAAAGTTATTTCCTACCTCGATAGTTTCTAGATGGTCCTTGTAAATACAATCTATGTGCTGTTATGGTAATGAAATACCTGACATTTTCATAACTGCTGTACATCCAGTTAGACGCATGGACACAAAGGCTGGCTTGCACACATGATGATTTATGGCTGCTCTGACCGCTAGTGGGTGTGTGATGTACGTCATGTGGTGTATTTATAGGCAGAACACAGAGGAACATACCATGCTGTGGACTGACCTCCCAATCAGTGTCCTACTGCTCTCTGCAGTCACCCGAATGTAAATTTATGAATATGCTGGATTTTTGTTCCCCTTTATTCATTTTAATCATGTTTCACCTTAAATATTTAGCAAATTATGTTATAGAAGCCAGTTTCTTCCAGACCCTTGTGACCCTGCATAGGATGAGCGGGCATAGAAAATTGATGGATGGATGGATGGATGGACGGATGGATGATGGATGGATGGATGGATGGATGATGGATGGCAGTAAATAAATATATTTGGCTTTAATTAGACATACATAATATGTACATGTTTTGAGAGAAAAGGATCAAAACCCCAGATTCCTGAATATTTTAGATACTCCCTTGTGGTTGTAAACTATTTCTATTATTACTGATTCAGTTAATTAAACATTACAACACAAATGAATCGGTATAAACATTTACACAGTTGATTCTGAATCTTATGGCATGACCCTAGATGGAAAATATCTGGCCAGACCAGCAGGAACTACCGGAGAACCCATGACTTTGAATTGGCCGCTTTCTTTCCAACATAACTACCTAAGACACCATGTACCTTTTATGGTAACATATAATTTCATTTTCTGAAACCTTCCAGGTATAGAGAAATGCAAGTGATGTTAAATGAGCATCAATTGAGCAATTTAATTCTTAAAATACTTCCATGGTATATTTTCATGTTGACATGGTGACTTTTCATTTTGACTGGTATGTCACTAGCCAGTGATTCACAGATTTCACATTTCTGTGGCATTAACTAAATGGCTGACAAGAAAAAATGCATTTTAAAACACGAATGAACAGTTTGAATGAATTGCTTCATTTTGCTGGTTATCCAAATTATTGTGCTGCAGTGTTCAAACCTGTGTAGAAATGTAAAAGCAGTTGAGAGAACCTCAAGAATGTTCAGAGAAATTGTCCAAAGCAACCGAGTAAAACTGTAATGGATTAGTAGAGCTACATTGTACTATATTTTATATTTTCATTTACATTTGCAGGCGGTTCTGCTTTTGTGACCTAAAGGAGCACGAGGTCATTGCTGAAGTCCTGGCTGTGAGGTCATTGCTGAAGTCCTGGCTATGAGGTCATTGCTGAAGTCCTGGCTGTGAGGTCATTACTGAAGTCCTGGCTGTGAGGTCATTGCTGAAGTCCTGGCTATGAGGTCATTGCTGAAGTCCTGGCTGTGCCGCAGTCAGTAAGGCCAAAAAGACTGGGACTTCCTGAATTTGCTCAGAAATTTCCACCTGTGTTCCAAGGGTTAAGTAGCGATTTCCTGCGATTCCATTCTTAGGCTCCCAGCTTTATGGGGACGACTCCGGTCAATATCATAAGATTAAAAGGAAGGAGGTTAAACTTCTGTCTTTGTTTCCACCATGGCAGCTTCTTCCGGCAAAATATTAATCTGGAATATAAAGGCAGTATAAATTTACCAGGTTTCCAGGTCTACACCTTTTCCACTCGAGATACTCTTAGAAGCGAAGCCCTCAAAGACGCTCATATGGAGAAGAAAGCTGCTCTTCACCTGTTCTCCAAGCAGATTGGTTTTCTGGAATCACTTTGCCATCTTTCCAGACAGACTCAAACTGATTTAAAAGTACAACAGGTGTCCTTCCGGCCTATCGTTACAGAGGTTTGTTTTGTAAATAGGGTGCAAAGGCGCTTTCAGAGTAACTTGTCAGATGAAGGCGAGGCAGCAGAAGCAGAGGACACTGCATCAGCCCAACCTCAGCCTCAGCCTTATTCCACATTGCAGTTATTCCACATCAGCTCTCTTGCTACCAGGTTTGGGGAGAGCTACAGTTATGTGGCCCAACACATCAACTTGTTCTTCTCCAGAGGTCCAGCCCAGGAAGTCCAGGCTCAGGTGTCTGTTGGGGAGCAATCAGGCAGCAAAAGTGGGCCAAGGAAACCCAATTCCAAGGGGGGGGATTCAGATCAGGGTCAGCTAAAGGACAACAGATGGACCTTGGTGGATTCTAGACCTTTGAATGCAGATACATCTGGCACATGGAATGAGGGCTATCTTCATGTGGCTCGCCGCATCAATAGCTATTTTGGAGCTAAGGTAACTGACACTGACCAAGAATCAGTGCTCAATCCTGAGGTTTCCAGCTCATGGGATGAGGGTTATTTGCATTTTGCCCACCATATAAACAGCTACTTCGGAGCTAAGATAACAGATGCCATCCAGCAACCAGTGAAGCAGAAGGCAGCAGAGATCTGTTCAAACTGTTCATCAGATGACAATACAAACTGGGAAAACTCACCAGAAGCCTACAGCCCCAGACTTAGCAACACCTTATTGACTCCTAAACAGGATGATTCCGTTATTCAGCCCAAATCCCTTGGCCTCTTCCACATAAGCAGTATTGCAACCAGGTTTGGAGAGGGCTATGTTCAATTGGCCAGTCATATCAACCAATACTTTAGCAGTCCAGAAGCTGTGGAAAGGAAATCAGAGGAAGATGAGATAGCACATGGAGGCCGGAGTAGTGGAGAGATTAGTGCAGTGGGCATGCCAGATTCTGTTCAACAAAAACCCATGCCAATGATTGATGGACTTCTGAAGCCTGTCTCCAACATGCTAAGAATGCTAGCAGGCTCGTGGCATGAAGTGTCTGAGCTTAAGACTGAGGTTTTTCCGGCTAAGACTATATTGACCAGAAGGGTGAGTCATGTGTCGCTGTACAATTAATCACCCGATTGCATATTTTTCATTTAACAGTTTCCTTGGTTGAAAAAATAATTTATTCGATTTTTTTATAGCTTAGATAAAGACCCTATTTCCCATCATTCCTAGCCACAGGTCATGAGCAGGAGGCGGGCTGAAGAAGAGACCCGGCATCTGATTGGCTTACTCCAGCAAGCCTCTAGGCCAAGCTCCCTCATTGGCTGCATTGAGGACCTGAATGGCCACTTAATTCGGCATCCAGCATGCAGAGCAGTAGTATGGCAGGTACACAGGGGAATTTAAAAGATTTCTTACTACAAGATGGCATTGTGGTTTCCTCTTTTTTGTTTTTAATCTTTGCCTTTCTGAGTTTGATGAAAATTCTGTTACTGTATAATAGTATTATTAGACTGTAAAAAATAAGTAAATGATTTTAGACATGTTCCATAATACATAAATAATGCATTATTCAATTGTACTCTCATGCCCATTCATATATAGTTTATCTTGTAACTTTTCTGCTAAAATTTCAGCAAAACAAAAACACAGTTTTTAAATAAAGTTTTCTTTATACCTTTTAAAGAGGAATATAAATGAACCTACCTCTGATTGACATAAAATTATCGGCGTTTCGTAATTGACAGGAGACAGGAAAATGCCTAATTCTTAAAATACAAATGAAAAAGGCTGCTTTTTCTTTAATTGCAGGAGAAGGCAGTTGTCGCATTGTTAAGCCAAAGACGACGTCTTGCAGACAACCAAGAACTTCAATGCGCTATTAGTGAAGCGTTGGCTTTGATTGGCTACACTGATCCAGTCAAAGGTCGAGGAATAAGGGTTTTGTCAATTGATGGGGGCGGGACAAGGTACAAGATGTCATTTTTTTCACATTGCAATTTGCTTATGCTGTAATTCTTAGAATACCAATATTGTTTGTCAGTATTCATCTTCTATACAAAATGAGTAATTTATTAAATAATATATTTTGCTAATTATTAGCGCATGAAATGAACAAATATTCGTTGAAGCTTTTTAAAAATGGCTGACTCAATATGTAAATATTTCACAGCCAAAGATTTATGTAAACACTTATCCCTTCTCTAGAAGGTCAGCTGAGCTATCAAGGAGCAGGTCATATTTGATCCATTCATTCAGAAAGGACGCACATGTGCCATTCCAGGTGCCATTCACCCTGAGACCCAGGTGTTCCCTCTCACCCCAGGGGGATCGTACCCTTGCACGTCCTGAAGCAGCTGGAGGAGGCTACGGGAAAGCCAGTGCACCAGCTGTTTGACTACATCTGTGGTGTGAGCACTGGTGAGGGAGACCGTCTGAGCTGCAGGCAATCTTCTTCATCATAAAGCACAAACAACACAGCACAAATGACAGAAGCCACCTATTACTCTGTCCCACATGGTATTACCGAAGAATAGTTCAGTTTCCATTTAACAATTTGTATAATTAGACTCATGATTAGTTATGCTGGCTACGTGTGCGTTTGAAGGTTCTTCTAGTTTTACGTAGGATTCCTGTGGGTACTTCGGGTTCCAATCATAATCCAAAAAGTTAGCTGAATTGGCATCTCTAGAATATCTACTGTGTTTGTACTCTTTGATGGACTGGCATCCGTTCCAGAGTGTTCCCTTACCTTGGTCCCTGGGAATGGCCCCGTGACCCTCTATTGGACAAGTGCTCAGCAGATGGTGTAAATAATAAGGATAACACAATTGAAGCTACGAGATTGAATGTCATTGTAGCTATTCGCCTAAGATAATTTCATCATGCAGTTAAAAAGACAACCCTGAAAATCACTCAGATGCTGTGCCTTGTGGATAGAATGCCGGTTGGTGGTATCGTATGGGGTTCTAGTTACATTTACTGTTCTGTCTTTGGTGTATTGCGTTCTCAGTTTCATGTGTGACGTGCATGTATGTGACAGGAGCAGTGGTGGGTTTCTTACTGGGACTGGCGCGAATGCCGCTGGACGAGTGTGAAGAACTGTACCATCGTTTTGGGTCTGAAGTGTTCCAGCAGAACGCTCTCGTTGGGACCATGAAGATGGGCTTCACACACTCCTACTATGACACAGAGACCTGGGAGAGAATACTGAGGTCCAGTATTCGACTTGTAATACATTTCATAGCAACCATGAACAGAACTTTTGAAGATGTATGATCCAACGTACAATAAGTGGTTTTTCCAGAGCTGTAATGCACATCTTGCTCATCTTCTTTAAACAGGGAAAAATTAAGGGACAAAGTTCTGATTAAAACATCCAGAGAGAAACTTAGTCCAAAGGTAAGTGCTATGCGATTCCAAACAGCAACATAATGAGGTAGGTGACATGCTTAAAGAGCTGGAATAGAAACTAAAATGGCCTCAGCAGTGACACCTTTAATAATGCATTCGTTCTTGATGACCTCAGAGTATCATTGCCTTTATTGTCATTGCATAAGGTGTAACGAAATTAGAAGACTATCCTTGTTGGTGCAAGAAGGAAAAAAGAAAAAACAGGAAGGATACAAAATACAAAAAAAATAAGATGAATAGAATGTAAAATAAACAGAATATTAATAGAATAATCAAAATATAAATAAGTAAATAGAGCATAAATTTGAATATAAAAGGAGTGTAAAGACAAAAATATAAACAATATAAAATTGAACAGGAAAATGACAAAAGTAGGTGTTTATGTTGCAGGTATTCCTCTCCTCATGATTCAGTTTCACAATAAATATGAAAATATTGCACATTTCAACACTGTAATTAAGAAGATACTGCACATGGCAATAAGCAAAATACATACATATATACATACAAAATACTTCATGAACCATCTGCTGTACCCCCTGACCGCACCAGATGGCACTCTGGGTTTGCTTTGGGGCATGTTTTTTGAACAGAAAATACCATGTATTGAGGTCAGAAAATACAGAAAATGGCTTATAAAGCTTCGCCCTGGCCAACCAAAAAGGAGAGCGCAGCATCACTGCACCGCCGCCTTTATCCATTATCATCATTTTTTGGAGTTTGTGGCTGCAGATTGTGATGGTGGATTGCAGGACTTTCTTCACGCATGAACAGGTTTCAGCTGTTAGCACCGTGGTGAACTGGGGCACTGGCCCCAAGCCCTTCATCTTCAGGAATTACAACCACAACCCAAGCCGCATTAGCCGCTACGCTGGGAGCTCCGGGTACCAGCTGTGGCAGGCAGTTCGAGCGTCGTCGGCTGCCCCAGGGTATTTTCAGGAGTTCCCACTCCACAACGATATTCACCAGGTATGGAGGTCTGTGCACATCAGAGATTGACAATGTGAAGTACAATTCACCTGTATTTTTTCTGCATGAATATATATTTAACCAGAAAGTGTGAGAGAGGTATGTTCATCAGCATTTTGTTAACCTTATGACCTTTTGCAATTTTTACAATAGTCCCAGTACATTTTGACTTGTCACTTAGAATCTCCATAACTGGTCTCATGGATGTCATTTCAATGAACTGGGGTTTGACAGAAAGAATATTTAAGCATCTATTTATTTTTGACATTACAGATCTGCCCTGCTAATAGAACCAATTGAGAAGAAGCTGTAAAGCAACAATGTTTTGTTGAGTTTTCTAAAGGTCATTGATCAATCATAGTGATGGACAAAAATGACACTTCATGAACCGTTTGCTGTATTTTTTTTTACCCACTAGATGGTGCTCTTGCCTTGCTTTAGGACATGGTTTGTGCCTTTTTATGAACATAGAGCACTTGTTAATTGTTAATTTATGGTCATTTTGCCCATCATTAGTCAATTCATTAAAATCACTGTCAGGTGACTGCCAGGTGCCATGTGGCTCTTCCCACTGGAAGCACTGTGTGCTTCAGGGTGCTCTGTCCGTCTGCAGGATGGGGGTCTTATCCTCAACAATCCCAGTGCCCTTGCGATTCATGAGTGCCGTCTGCTGTGGCCTGACCAGCCCTTCCAGTGTGTA